TTGAATTTTTCTGAATGGTTCTCCTTCCCTGTCTCTCTGTTTTATCCGAGCCGCAGTGCATCAAACAATGCCTTCACTTTTCTTCAAAAAATAACCTCGACTGAAGACTTCCCACTTGGCGTATGTGGGTATGCTGTCGTCCGATAGTTGGTTAGGAAAACGTCAATGACATCGTCCGTTGATCTCTCCCATCAACATCTCAACATAACTCGTTTAAAGGTATCCAAAAATCTCCCGGCTTGTCCATTTGATTGAGGGTGGTAGGCGGGTGACCGGATATGCGACAGCATGTCCTGAACATAGGAATCAATAAAAAGCGCAGAGAGCTGCATACCATTGTCTGTTACTACCGTATTAGGTAACGCGGAACAACTGAATATTTTTTGAAGTCCAGCAATGTTAACTTCGGTAAATGCCTTGTCCATGCAAGAAACTTCTGCCCACTTCGTGACAGCATCTGCAGTTATCAGGCAAAGCAGACCATCGACTGGACCGACAAAGTCCATGTGTGGACGTCGCCATGGTGCCTCAAGCATAGGCCAATCGTGTGGTTCACATCGTGGCGAATTCTTGTCAACTTGAATGAAGTGAGGACAACTGCGTCAATACTCCTTTAAATCTTAGCTATGCTGGGTCAACAAACGTTACTCCTAGCCAATGACTTTAACCGGTTAACTCCTGGGTGGCCGTTGTGGAACCGTTGGATCACTCTGTCAGAGGACCTCTGATACGATCATTCTCTCAACAAACATAGGGCAACCATCAACTATTGATAACGGCTCCTGAAGATTAGTGTACCGACAAACCTTTGGGTTGGCTGGTCGTATGCTATTAAGACGTATTTGGTGAGGTCCGGAGCGTATGGTACCAGTGGTGATCTTGGTGACGCATCGTTCTCTGCACGTATTTTTTCATGTCTGGACGCGTCCCGACACTTCCTGTTCTGAAGACATATCGTAGTTTCTCATTCTGGGGTTTACCAGCATCTGGTTTACTGGAATTCTACGTCGTCCAGTTCTTCTTTGCAACGGAGATGGGTTGATTGACGTGTTTGGTTTTATCGACTCATTCTTCGGTTCATTAGGTTATATTTAGGTTATATTGGGTGGCACGAAATGCCGAATTTGATGGCATGCCGAATCCACACCGTTTCGCCGAAATCTACTGACATTTCCTCTCCGTTCGCAATATCCTCCCGAACTCCAACACTTCGCTGAGAAGTCTCTGACAAGAAGAGTATCCACGGCTAAAAATACGTCTAGTGCGACATTTTAGGTTGAATTTTTCTGAATGGTTCTCCTTCCCTGTCTCTCTGTTTTATCCGAGCCGCAGTGCATCAAACAATGCCTTCACTTTTCTTCAAAAAATCAATGTTTGGTTTTATCGACTCATTCTTCGGTTCATTAGGTTATATTTAGGTTATATTGGGTGGCACGAAATGCCGAATTTGATGGCATGCCGAATCCACACCGTTTCGCCGAAATCTACTGACATTTCCTCTCCGTTCGCAATATCCTCCCGAACTCCAACACTTCGCTGAGAAGTCTCTGACAAGAAGAGTATCCACGGCTAAAAATACGTCTAGTGCGACATTTTAGGTTGAATTTTTCTGAATGGTTCTCCTTCCCTGTCTCTCTGTTTTATCCGAGCCGCAGTGCATCAAACAATGCCTTCACTTTTCTTCAAAAAATAACCTCGACTGAAGACTTCCCACTTGGCGTATGTGGGTATGCTGTCGTCCGATAGTTGGTTAGGAAAACGTCAATGACATCGTCCGTTGATCTCTCCCATCAACATCTCAACATAACTCGTTTAAAGGTATCCAAAAATCTCCCGGCTTGTCCATTTGATTGAGGGTGGTAGGCGGGTGACCGGATATGCGACAGCATGTCCTGAACATAGGAATCAATAAAAAGCGCAGAGAGCTGCATACCATTGTCTGTTACTACCGTATTAGGTAACGCGGAACAACTGAATATTTTTTGAAGTCCAGCAATGTTAACTTCGGTAAATGCCTTGTCCATGCAAGAAACTTCTGCCCACTTCGTGACAGCATCTGCAGTTATCAGGCAAAGCAGACCATCGACTGGACCGACAAAGTCCATGTGTGGACGTCGCCATGGTGCCTCAAGCATAGGCCAATCGTGTGGTTCACATCGTGGCGAATTCTTGTCAACTTGAATGAAGTGAGGACAACTGCGTCAATACTCCTTTAAATCTTAGCTATGCTGGGTCAACAAACGTTACTCCTAGCCAATGACTTTAACCGGTTAACTCCTGGGTGGCCGTTGTGGAACCGTTGGATCACTCTGTCAGAGGACCTCTGATACGATCATTCTCTCAACAAACATAGGGCAACCATCAACTATTGATAACGGCTCCTGAAGATTAGTGTACCGACAAACCTTTGGGTTGGTGTTTTTTACTAAGCAGGCCAGGTCGAATAAATTTAGTGACTTCTTGAAGCCCGTAGTCACGTTTGGTGGCCCCTTGATTCGTAGCCATGGTTAGTGGAAGGGCTCGGAAAAAGTCGGTGATGATGCGCTTGAAGTCCGACTACACATTGACTGTTTCCACAACCGCATAATGAGATCCAATGAGTCGCGATAGAGCATTCGCCTGTCCGAAAGAGACGGTTGTACGATATATAATCAAAAAGTCGCATCCTAGAAGAGTGGTGGCCCACCGCTGCAATCGGTTAGAGGTGCATGCAGGCATGCCCTTCCTAAATCCAAATATACATAGAAGAGGCTTGTGATAGCAGGAGAGAGCTGAAGAGACTGGACCTTACCATGGTGTGACGGAGAGAGCTGAACTGGACCTTACCATGGTGTGACGGTTTGCGCACCTAGCGATCCATTGAGCTATACTGGAGAGTGTCCCGCGACACTCACTCACACTCTCATACCCGGTTGGTCAATGGTTAGAGGTCTGACGAACACAGTCTCCTGATCCTCCAGCTTTGGGGTTGGAACATGTGGCGGCTTGTTCCGTAGAAATGGTAATGCACTCGCATTTCCGCCAAACACCGCTGCCTTGCGGTTATCGTTTTGAACCAAAGGCTTTGGTTGAGGACCCTAATCGTCCTCCTGTCTAGGTGTGCGCACCCTGGCAGTATCCCAGCCCACGAAACAAACATGAACTGCACATACACAAATAAACTCACGCCACATCGGCCGTCGCGTGGTCCCATCAGCCAGGTCACCTTACTCGCCGTATACAGCAGGGCTGGTAAGCGAAAATAGGCTTCTGCTGACACCTCCCTTCTTTCTCTTTCACATACTTTTTCTTCCCCCTCTCCCCACCCCATTGTATCAAGCTACAGTGGAGCTGTTTTGTTGTATGGCTGTGAGACTTGGCCTATTTGAGCATCGGACCTGAGACGTCTTCAGGTGTTCGACAATCATTGTCTCAGCTCATGTGGGTTGGTGTTGACGAATCCGTAACAAGGCAGTTAGAAAGCGCGTTTCCGGTTGTGCAGCGGGTACTTCCATTTGGAAATGTGTCCAGCACCAGAAGCTGAGTTGGTTGGGACATGTGTTGCGTATACCGAACTATCGTTTGCCGAAGAGTGCTGTTTTCCATGCCCGTTTCAGAGTGGCGTAAACAGAGGGGTGGTCAACCCTTGAATTAGCAGAGGAGTATGAAAGAGACCACGAAACGATTGGGTGCTGTCGGTGGTACTCGCCTTCCAGGATGGGGACCGCGTGATCCTCACTGCGGCTGGTTGGAGGCATTACAACGTACGGCTGCCAACCGATGTGAGTGGCTTTCTTGTTGTCAGTTTCTATCCAGATCGCCTGAGTGAGTGTCTTGAGGTATAGGCACCTCGGGATGATTGTGGTAAGCTAGCACTGAGTCCCTTCCC